AATTGTTTCCGGTTCTAATTTTAGTAAATAAAATTTTCAAATTTGATTTATTTACCTTCATGATGTTATTAAAGCTGTTGAAAGAACTGAAATAATATCTTCAGATATAGTAGATTTTAATTGAAATGTTGAATTGAACTGTCAAGAACGGTAAATAGCGTAAACTCCCGGCTTTTATTGGGGTAATATTTTTTTTCCTGAAGGATACACTCGCCCTGCGCACTGTGTATCTTTCAGGATACATCCGCCCTGCGCATTGTGTATCCTCAAGGATACACTCGCCGCGAAGGGTTAAAGTCAAATTTTCACAATTATTGGTAATTTTTTGTAATCTTTTACAAAAATCTTCTCCTCTGAAATTATTGGGCCAAGTTAAACCAAACTTGGCCTAAATCATCCTTAGGGTATCTAGTTCAAAAAACACATCCGATGAACCGTCCCACCAACCAAGATGGCTGCCATGGCTAAAAATAGAACATGGGGGTAAAATGCAGTTTTTTGGCTTATATCTCTGAAACTAAAGCATTAAGAGCAAATCTGACACAGGGGTAAAAATGTTCATCAGGTCAAGATCTATCTGCCCTGAAATTTTCAGTCGAATAAGACAACCTATTGTTGGGTTGCTGCCTCTGAATTAGTAATTTTAAGGAAATTTTTCAGTTTTTATACTTTGCGGTCGTATATTGGTATGACGTTGGGGTCGTCGTCGTCGTCGTCCGAAGACACATTGGTTTTCGCACTCTAACTTTAGTTTAAGTGAATGGATCTCTATGAAATTTTACCATAAGGTTCAATACCACAAAAGGAAGGTTGGGATTGATTTTGGGGGTTATGGTACCAACAGTTAAGGAATTAGGGGCCAAAAATAAGCATTTTTGTAACTTCCAGACATAACTTGTGTGTTAGTGTATGGATCTCTCTGACATTGTACCACAAGGTTCCATATCACACAGGGAATGCTGGGATTGATTTTGGGGTTAATTGCCTCAAAATTTTAGGAATTAGGGGTCAAAAAAGGGGCAAAAAACAAGCATTTTTCTAGTTTCATGATAATAACTTGTGTGTAAGTGTATGGATCTTTCTGAAATTGTACTACAAGGTTCCATATCACAAAGGGAAAGCTGGAATTGAGTTTGGGGGAATTGCCCAAAACGTTTAGGAATGAGGGGCCAAAAATAAGCATTTTTCTAGTTTCCAGACAATAACTTGTGTTTAAGTGTATGGATCTCTCTGAAATTGTACTGCAAGGTACCATACCACAAAGGGAAGGCTGGGATTGATTTTGGGGGTAATTGCTCCAAAATTTTAGGAATTAGGGGCCAAAAAGGGGTAAAAAACAAGCATTTTTCTAGTTTTAGGACAATAACTTGTGTGTAAGTGTATGGATCTCTCTGAAATTGTACTACAAGGTTCCTTATCACAATGGGAAAGCTGGGTTTGAGTTTGGGGGTAATTGCCCTAAATGTTTAGGAATATGGGGCCAAAATGGGGCCTTTAAACAAGCATTTTTCCTAGTTTCCAGACAATAACTTGTGTTCAAGTGTATGGATCTCTCTGAAATTGTACTGCAAGGTACCATACCACAAAGGGAAGGCTGGGATTGAGTTTGGGGGTGATGAATCATATGGGGGTTCAAAAAATTTGGGGGAGGGATTTTTTTTTTCTTTAAAATTTTCCATTTTAAATTGGTTATTTCTGATTTATATATAAAAGCAAATAATAATGATATGGTTTGAAAAGGTAAATTAAAAAATTTTAAGTCCTTAGACCACATTCATTCTGTGTCAGAAACCTATGCTGTGTCAAATATTTAATCACAATCCAAATTCAGAGCTGTATCAAGCTTGGATGTTGTGTTCATACTTGCCCCAACTATTCAGGGTTCGACCTCTGCGGACGTATCAAGCTGCGCCCAGCGGAGCATTTTATTGGTTATTATCTTGAATATTATAATAGATAGAGATAAATTGTAAACTGCAAAAATGTTCAGCAAAGTAAGATCTACAAATAAGTCAACTTAACCAAAATTGTCAATTGACCCCTTAAAGTCAATTTTTCCCAGTTTATGTAAATTTTTGTAATCTTTTACAAATATCTTCTCCTGAAATGACTGGGCCAAGTTAAACCAAACTTGGCCTAAATCATCCTTAGGGTATTTAGTTTAAAAAATGTATCAGATGACCGCACCCACCTACCAAGATGGCCACCCTGGCTAAAAATTGAACATAGGGGTAAATGTAGTTTTTGGCTTATATCTCTGAAACTGAAGCATGAAGAGCAAATCTGACACGCGGTAAAAATTTTATCAGGGCAGGTCTGTCTGCCCTGAAATTTTCAGACAAATCTGACAACCCGTTGTTTGGTTGCTGCCCCTGAATTGGTAATTTTAAGGAAGACACTTTGGTTTTCGCACTCTAACTTTAGTTTAAAGGGTCAAGTGAGCTTTTCTCATAACTTGGCAGCTGTCAACGTCCGTCGTCGTCTGTTAACTTTTACAAAAATCTTCTCCTCTGAAACCACTGGGCCAAATTAAACCAAACTTGGCCTAAATCATCCTTAGGGTATCTAGTTTAAAAAAATTATCCGATGACCCTGCCCACCAATCAAGATGGCCACCATGGCTAAAAATAGAACATAGGGGCAGGGACTAAACTTAACTCTTTTAAGCTGGGCCCCCAAAATATTTTTTTCAGGGGCCCAGTTGAAATTTATGGGCCCAACCAATTTTTATACTAATAGTATATTGGTATGACGTTGGTGTCGTCGTCGTCGTCCAAAGACGCATTGGTTTTCGCACTCTAACTTTAGTTTAAGCGAATGGATCTCTATGAAATTTTACCATAAGGTTAAATACCACAAAAGGAAGGTTGGGATTGATTTTGGGGGTTATGGTACCAACAGTTAAGGAATTAGGGGCCAAAAAGGGGCCAAAAATAAGCATTTTCTAGTTTCCAGACAATAACTGTGGAACGGTGTATGGATCTCTCTGAAATTATACTACAAGTTTCCATACCACAAAGGGATGGTTAGGATTCGCTTTGGGGGGTTATGGCTCAAACCGTTTAGGAATTAGGGGCAAAAAAGGGGGAAAAACAAGGTTGTCCTGGTTAATGGAAAAATACTATAGTACAAAACATAATTTAAAGCAGTGTAAGGGAGATAAATCAAATACATCATTGAAATTACCTCCCTTACACTGCTTTTAAATTATGTATAAAGTAATGGTTAATGAACAATTTAGATAATTTAAAACAGTGTAAGAGAGGTAATCCAAATACAACGTTTTGGTTACTTCCCTTACACTGCTTGTAAATTATGTTTAAAGAAATGCATATTTATAAAGGAAGACCAGTAAAAATATCTGCAAATGTTGCATCTTTTTTTTTTACAAAAAAATCCATATGAAAGATTTGACACTATATTTTAAATTCTATTATAAAATAGATTAAGTTAGCACTATGGTAAATTTAAATGGGTAATTATGGTTGCAAACTCCATTGGAAATTTGAATTGAGATTATGACCATATCTCGAGGGAAAGAATTTTTTTTTGGGAGGGGGGGGGGGGGGGTTTAAAAGAAATTGTGGGGGGTCAATTTTTTCTCATTTCAGATTTCAGAAATTAAAAAGAATTATTCTTCAAATATTTTTTTTTTCAAATTTCAAATATTGAAAAATTTCAAGAAGTAATCTTTAATTGCACAGTATGGCGCATAAGATTTGTAAAATCTTTGACCACATTTGTTTATTTGTTATGCCGAAACTGACCGTGTATTTAGATTTTTAATTTTGGGTCCAGTTTTCAAATTGGTCTACATTAAGGTCCAAAGGGTCCAAAATTAAACTTTGTATGATTTTAACAAAAATTGAATATATGGGGTTCTTTGATATGCTGAATCTAACCATGTATTTAGATTTTTTATATGTGGACCTCGCTATCAAATTGGTTCATATTGAGGTCAAAAGGGTCCAAAATTAAACTTCGTTTGATTTCATCAAAAATTGAATTATTGGGGTTCTTTGATATGCAAAATCTAACCGTGTATTTAGATTTTTAATTTTGGGTCCTGGTTTTTAAATTGGTCTACATTAAGGTCCAAAGGGTCCAAAATTAAACTTAGTTTGATTATAACAAAAATTGAATTCTTGGGGTTCTTTGATATGCTGAATCTAAACATGTATTTAGATTTTAGATTTTTGGCCCAGTTTTCAAGTTGGTCCAAGTTGGGGTCCAAAATTAAACTTTGTTTGATTTCAACAAAAATTGAATATATGGGGTTCTTTGATATGCTGAATCTAAACATGTATTTAGATTTTAGATTTTTGGCCCAGTTTTCAAGTTGGTCCAAATTGGGGTCCAAAATTAAACTTTGTTTGATTTCAACAAAAATTGAATATATTGGGTTCTTTGATATGCTGAATCTAACCATGTATTTAGATTTTTTATTTGTGGGCCCCGCTATCAAATTGGTTCATATTGAGGTCAAAAGGGTCCAAAATTAAACTTTATTAAATTAGTTAGTACAAGGCCAAGACACAGGTAGAATGTGACGCTTTGGTGAGCATTTCTATCCAATTTCCCGAAGTGTACAGCGTTTATATTTTAAGACAATATATAGTTCTTCACTTTATACTGCAACTCTTTACAACTGTTCATATGAAATATTTTGGTTATAACCATCAATTTGTAATTTGAAGCATACAATGTAATAATTCCGTGAGCCTGTATTCTTTTTTGACAGCATAAATAAAACTGTATGGAAACACATTGTCCACATCATAAACAGAGCAATACACAGTCTGACTGTTTATCACAAATGAATATAAGCATGATAAGTATAAGGTCAATTCAATTTGGCTGCGCAAATAGCACAGTTGCAGTAAAAAAGAAGTTTCATTTAAAAGCTGTCATTTGGGTGTGTTGACCCTTGTTTTAGACAAATGTTAATCTAACATATATATGTGATGTAGACTGTAATAGAAATTTCATTTATTTTGCAGTATCAGAGAGAATATCTTACAGATCTTACTGCAGGAATCAGAGTAAGTCATTTTCTAAAAATCTATGTTAAAAATTATAGGGCATACAAGTCTGTTTCCTTGCATTTTTATACGCCCGTTTATGGGACGTATTATGGTATACCGTTGTCTGTCTGTCCATCTGTCCGTCGTCAACATGTCGGACATTAACTCAAAAAGCTTCAACCAATTTGCATAAAACTTTGGTGAATTGTTCATATCTATTGATGTGAGCTCTCTTTCGTTTTTTATAAAATTTAGATTTTATGTTTCTGAGTTGTGGGGTTTTATTCATTAAAAAAGGGGGGACTTTCCAGTTTTCAGTCAATAACTCAAAAATGCTTTCACCAATTTGCAAGAAACTTTGGTCAATTGTTTATATCTATTGACATGAGCTCCCTGTTGATTTTTAATAAATTTTAGATTTTATGTTTCCGAGTTGTGGAGTTTTATTCATTAAAAAAAAAAGGGGGGATTTTCCAGTTTTCGGTCAATAACTCAAAAATGCTTTCAGCAGTTCTCATGAAACTTTGGAGAATTGTTTATATCTATTGATGTAAGCTCCCTTTCAATTTTTATAAATTTTAGATTTACACTTCCGAGTTATGGGATTTTATTCATAAAAAAGGGGTGATTTTCTAGTTTTTGGACAATACCTTTAAAGTGCTTTGAGCAGTTTTCATTAAACTTTGGTGACTGGTTTATATCAATTAAGATAACCTCCCTTTAGTTTTTCACAAATTTCTGATATGACATTGAGAAGTTATTTAATTGTTTATTATACATCTGTCAAAGACGGGAAGTATTATGGTATACCAATGTCCATCTGTCCATCCGTCTGTCCATCTGTCCTTCCCTCACTCTGTCATCACTTTATACGATAAATCAAATTGGCTTTAACCAATTCTCATTGGGAATAAAACTTACTTTATTATATATGGGCTAAGACAGAAAAGCATTAGCCCAACTATAATCTAGGACTGTGCAAGAAAATACTGTATTTTTTTAAAGCCGAATCCTGCATTTTAGACACCTTTTCAAAGAAATGAAACAGTTGAAAAGCAGAAGTTTTTACCCATTAAATCTTGGCTTTTATTCAAATTCTTCTGCCAGAATAAAAAGAAATGTGCATCAATTTTATTTTTTGGTATTAAGGGAAACCAAACCAGCAAAGTCTTAAAAATACCAGACTGACGTCTAGACACCTAGACTCCAGTATGAATTTACAATTATGAATTATGTCACCCAGCACAATTTTTACTGCATTGGGGTGTCAATGCTTTGAGCAGTTACCATGAAACTTTGGTGACTGGTTTGTATCTATTAAGATAATCTCCTTTTAGTTTTTCATGAATTTCTGATATGACATTGAGAAGTTATTGAACTTTATTCTTTGAAAAAGCGACGGGCATATCATGCGCTCATGGCGCAGTTGTTTATTTAGTAATTTTTTATACGACCGCAAAAAAATTTTTGTGGTCGTATATTGGTATGACGTCGTCGTCGTCGTCGTCGTCTGGCGTCGTCCGAAGACACATTGGTTTTCGCACTCTAACTTTAGTTTAAGTGAATGGATCTCTATGAAATTTTACCACAAGTTTCAATACCACAAAAGGAAGGTTGGGATTGATTTTGGGGGTTATGGTACCAACAGTAAAGGAATTAGGGGCCAAAAATAAGCATTTTTGTAACTTCCAGACATAACTTGTGTGTTAGTGTATGGACCTCTCTGACATTGTACCACAAGGTTCCATATCACAAAAGGAATGCTGGGATTGATTTTGGGGGTAATTGCCTCAAAATTTTAGGAATTAGGGGCCAAAAAAGGGGCAAAAAACAAGCATTTTTCTAGTTTCATGACAATAACTTGTGTGTAAGTGTATGGATCTTTCTGAAATTGTACTACAAGGTTCCATATCACACAGGGAAAGCTGGAATTGAGTTTGGGGGTAATTGCCTCATTATTTTAGGAATTAGGGGCCAAAAAGGGGCAAAAAACAAGCATTTTTCTAGTTTCATGACAATAACTTGTGTGTAAGTGTATGGATCTTTCTGAAATTGTACTACAAGGTTCCATATCACAAAGGGAAAGCTGGGTTTGAGTTTGGGGGTAATTGCCCTAAACGTTTAGGAATTTGGGGCCAAAAAGGGGCCAAAAAACACATTTTTCTAGTTTCAAGACAATAACTTGTGTTCAAGTGTATGGATCTCTCTGAAATTGTACTGCAAGGTACCATACCACAAAGGGAAGGCTGGGATTGAGTTTGGGGGTGATGAATCATAAGGGGGTTCAAAAAATTTGGGGGGGGATTTTTTTTTTTTTTTCCTTTTTTTTTTCTTTTAAAATTTTCCATTTTAAGTTGGTTATTTCTGATTTATATTTAAAAGCAAATAATAATGATATGGTAGGAGATACACACCAAACAGGATGTGTAAATTATTATATAATAAGTATTGTGCAATAGCAAGAAATTTTCAATTGCACAGTATTGCACAATAGCAAGAAATCTTCAATTGCACAGTATTGCGCAATAGCAAGAAATCTTCAATTGCACAGTATTGCGCAATAGCAAGAAATATCCAATAGCACAATATTGCGCAATAGCAAGAAATTGTCAATTGTACAGTATTGCGCAATAGCAAGACATTTTTAATTGCACAGTATTGTACAAAAGAAGATACTTCGTATTGCGTATTTCTTGACCAATTTCAATGGGGTTTTATTCTTGAATTCTTGGGGTCCTTTATATGCTGAATCTAACCGTGTATTTAGTTTTTGGATTTTGGGCCCCAATTTTAAATTGGTCCACATTGAGGTCCAAAGGGTCCAAAATTAAACTTTGTTTGATTTCATCAAAAATTGAATTATTGGGGTTCTTTGATATGCCGAATCTAACCGTGTACCGTATTTATTCTAATAAACGCCCTGGGGGCGAAGACAATTTCCAAAAGGGGGGCGTCAATTAGAGAAACGAATTTCGTACCTTACTTCATTGACCTTTAACTGAATTTTGTTGAAACAGACTATAGTTACCTACACGTGTTTCTAATTGTCTCCATAATCTTTAAATAGCGTTTATCGGTAATTTGACTTCATCAAATATTTTGTTAAAATTTTCGAATGAACAAGCGTGCACATCAATGGAACATAATTTCAACAGCTCAATAAGGGGATATCATGTATACAAAAGTATCTGGAGTTATGCAATCGGTGACAAACTAAGATGTGAACAAGAGGAAGATAATCCAAACGATAAATTTGCCGTCAAACTCGTCTTTGTCATTGGAAATGAAGAAAAATGTGTAGGCCACGTGCCGATCGAACATAGTAAAATCTTCAACTTTTTCATAAAAAGAGGAGGCAAAATCAACGCGACTGTGACTGGAAGCAAGTTTTTTAATATCGGACTTGAAATACCTTGCCTTTACACATTTTCCGGGAACAATACTGATATTGAAAAACTTAAAAAATTACTGAAATAGAACAAGGATTTTAATAGTAAGACCAAAATAATGGAATCGAAATCGTCAACACATAAAAATAAATATACGTTTAGTTTTAAACTTAAAGTTATAAAATTTGCCGAAGAAAAAGGGAAACATGCTGCAGCAAAATTTTACAATGTTGACAGAAAACGTGTGCGCGAATGGTCCCAAAATAAATGTAAAATTGAAAGTGGATCAAAAAATCAGAAAAGACTACCAGGTGCTGGACGGCCTGTTAAGTACAAGGAAATTGATCAGAAATTGATGATATGGTTTAAGGAGAAACGAAGTGCGGGAATTCGCGTGACAGGAAAAGCAATGCGAATTGAAGCATTGAGACTTTACAAGGAGAATGGAAGCCAATCGTTTAAGGCATCTCTTGGGTGGTTTAATAAATTTAAAAAGCGTCATAGAATAACGTTCCGACGAGCAACGCATGTAGCCCAACACTCAAAATCAATTGTTGATGACCGCATTGACAAATTTCTAAACTTTGTAATCCGTATGAGACGGTTTCGAGGGTATGCTACAAGTGAAATCGGGAATATGGACGAAACTCCTGTATGGTTTGAAATGCCAGGGAAATCCACATTAGCAGAATGTGGAGAGAGAGAGATACGTATGGCATCAACCGGACACGAAAAAGAAAAATTGACAGTCACGCTAGCTGCATATGCTGATGGCACAAAGCTGCCTCCTTTAGTTCATTTACCCGGTGTTCGTCCACTTCCGAAAAATGAAATACCAAACGGTGTTGTTGTATACATGTGTGGTTCAGGAAAGAAATCTTGGGCCAATGAGGATAGTATCAACTTTTGGTTGAAAAGAGTGTGGGGATTAAACAATCAGAAAAGGCGATTACTTGTATGGGATGCATTTAGAGCACATATCACTCCGAGAGTAAAGGAATCAGTACGAATGAAGTACAATTCGGACATGGCTGTAATTCCCGGAGGCTGCACTTCAAAATTACAACCAGCTGATGTTTCGTGGCATAGGCCATTTAAATCATACATATCGGAAATGTATGACGAATGGTTATTTAATGGACCTGTTGAGAGAACCAAAGGTGGCAACAGACGGGCCCCTTCAAAGTCCGTAATTCTTAGTTGGATTAAAAAAGCATGGGATTCTATCACTCCAGAAATTAAAAAGTGTGGGATCTCGAATGAGTTGGACGGAAGTGAAGATCATTTATTTCAAAATGACCACGATGATGATAATATCCTTTCGAAGGGTTCGACGTGGAAGATGTCGAAATGGATGAGGAAATGTTGGCTAACGTTTCAGCGTACGACGAAGAAGCCATGGAAGTTAGCGAGAGTGAGGGTGAAATAGATTCTGACCTCAATGAGGCTACAGAATCAGACTATGATAGTCCTGGTCACTGAAAACAATAACATTTGATGTATAAATTTATTCAATATTAGTTTAGAAATGCATGCCTGTTTATAACGTTGAACTTTACTGATAGCGTACTGCGTAACTGACAGATCTATTTTTGGAACTTGTACACACTGTGTTATATTATCGGAGTG